TTGCGTTCCAGCCTGGGTTTAACATTGCTTGCGTATCATTTTGTAATCCGGTCTGTCAGTCTGTTATTTCATTCTCGCCTCCCAAGCAGCCCAAGTCTTCTTCCTTACGCACATTGCCTTGATAATATCGTTAAGACAGGACTACAGCTGCACTTGCTCTACTTGCCACACATCATCGTTAAGTCATCGCTCTGTTTTCCTCATTAGCAGGCTAATTTTTCCGCAGTTTAGCAGTTGATGTTTGTGCTATTTGTTAATTGATTTTAGCAGTCCTTGAGCTGACACAAGCCTTTTTCTGTATCCAGCAGCTGAATTTTGGATGTTGTGTTTACCAGAGTACAGCTTCCGGGTACGTAGAAGGCTATCTCAATCCCAGGCTAACTCAGGCCCGAATCTTACCCCATTGTAACGGAGTACGCTGCAGTCAAAAACTGTGAGTAAAGGTTTAACCACATTGTTAATAAAGCACAACAAACAAAAGCTGAAGAAACAGCGGCGCAGGACGAGAATGAGACGGTGGGCAGAGACCAAGGGTCAACGGTGCGGGCACGGCATACGCGATGGCGGAAGAGTAATCAACAGGGTAGCAGCGGTTGTGAACTGTGCGCACGCTGTACAGTTGGGAAGGAGCACTGGCTATCCCTCAGTGTTGCTTACAACCCCCTACTAAATACAACACACACAAGAACAAAGCGAAACATAAAGATCACTGTCTTACCCCCGCCAGGGGGGGAGGGGGCTGGAGGGGACTATTATCCCATGGGAACATACGGGTGGCTTCAGTGACAACTGGCGCGAGATTTTAACAAAGGAACGCGAAATTCATTCGAACAAAATTAGCTCGGTAGTAAAAAGTTGTGTGAAAAATTGAACAGATCGAGCACTTCGCATAGTGTTTTTTAAACAAATAGGGCTCTAAAAAATCGTCAAAACCGCATTGTGTGGTCTCTTTTGTAGTTCGAATAGCACACTTATCAAGTTTTATTAACTCGGAATCTTGGAGCAAAAATTCTGGCTGTCTGTGGTTCAGGGCGCAACAGGGGTTGCTTTCGAGTCGAGCCAATTTTTTCTGAATAACAGAGTTTAGGCAGCAGCGAGTAAGTGCCAACTTGTTCCAACCTCAATGCTTCTTAAACTGAATAATGATTTATCCAGTTATGCTGCTGAATAAGAATTTATAGGACTTGATGAATCGAAAAATTCGTGTTAATCTAATTTCTTAGCTTAATCCTATATTTTTTATATGTGTTGTAATACATGTTTTTTTTTTTT